GGACTGGGAGGAGGGGGTGGGAGGAGCCTGAGGCGGGGCGGGGCGTTTCGGCGCTCCCCCTCGCCTGCTGCCTGCAGGGCTCACCTCTGACTGTCCGGGGACATGACTGGCACGCCCGGAGCCGCTGCCGCTGGGGATGGCGAGGCCCCTGAGCGCTCCCCGCCCTGCAGTCCGAGCTACGATCTCACCGGCAAGGTGGGTGGGCGCTACGCCCAGTGCTGGGCACTTCAGGGCCAGCCCTGAGGGACACCCCCCCCTCCGCGTGCTCTTTGCCTTAGGACCCTGTCCCTCCCTGACCCACGCCCCCCTCGGGCTGCATCTGGATTGAACTCAGTCCTTGCCCTACCAGGCGGGTCTGGGGTCTGAGACACCTCATTCTCTAGGGATCTAGGCTGACCTCGGTGGGTACAGGGACAGGAAGATCGGAAAGGACTGAGGCTTCCCACCCTGAGGACCCCAACCCAATTTTCTTCTGCCACACTTCAGAAGTGCTAAGAGATGGCGACTCCCTGGAAACTCAGGGCACTCCACTCCACACCCCCCACACCCCACCCCTACTCCACCTGCTAGGCATTTCAAGGTTAATGCTAGTTTTGAGCTAAGCGCTCAGCAGACACCTGTCACCCATTTTCAAGGTTTTAGATCCCCATCAGGCAATAAATCCTACCCTTTCCCTCCAGATACAGTCTCACACCTTCCGAGCTGTAAGATAACCCATCCCTATCCCCCAGTCTGTGGGTAGCCACGCCCACAGATCCACCTTGGATTTTTTTTAATATTTCATTTATTATTTTTATTTTGTGTGTATGAGTGTATTGCCTGCATGTGTGTGAGTACACCCGTGTTGTGCAATGCTTCAGGAGGTCAGAAGAGGGCTTCAGATTCCCCTGAAAGTGGAGTTAAGGACAGTGCCACCATGTGGATGCTGGGAATCGAACCCAGGTCCTCTGCAAGAGCAGTCAGTGCTCTTAACTGCTGAGCCATCTCTCCAGCCCCCACCTGGGAATTTTTAGAACCTGAAAAAAAAGAACACAGCAATTAGTCACTGTGACACCCCCCCACCCCCAACGGCTGTAAAGGCAGCTCTCTGTGGTGTATACCTTCTGTAGGAACATCCTGTGTGGAAGCAAGTAGAGGGAACATGGGCATTAATCTGTCTTCCTCCCACCCCTACCTGCACCCTTGGAGCAGGCAAGTACCTGGAACTCTGAAAGAGATGCTGAGCCAGCCAGCATTTTACATTCTTCTGCACGGTTAGTGAGAGATAAAGTGAGGGCTGTGCTGGGTAGAGCCGCAGCCTGGTCTTGAAGGACACCTGCCTCTTTCCATGTCATGCTTTTGCCCCACATTGGGTCTCAGTCTCACTGGCTCCACCCCCAGGGTTTCAGGGGAAGCCACTCTGCCAGCCACCCACCCAGAGCCGTTTGAGATAGGCATCCTGTGTGGGCTTGTGGCAGGAAATGGGGCCCTGTGTCCTCAGGGGAGGGGGTGCTGCTGATGGCCAGCCCCCACCTCCTCCCCACCAGGCCAATGGGGATCTCCTGGCCTCCTTGCCCTACAAGTCAACTGAGCTGTTTACCTAGGAGGTGGCAAGGCTGAGCAGCTGTTTGTGTTTGGTGGACTTGTCTGGCTGCATCATTTGCTCAAGGCAGCTGTGATCTGTAAAGTACACAGGCATGAGTCCTGGCCTACCTCCTTCCTCTCTGGGGTTGGGACCCAGAAACCAACCAAAAGTACAGGCTACAGAGGCGATCCCTTCCCCATCCATCCCCTAACCAGCACCATCGGTATGGGCATTGCCCCCCAAGCCTGCCAAGACCTGACCCACTGCTAACCCAGCCCTGAGTCCAGGACTGTGTGGGAAGAGGAGCATGATGAGAAAGCTCTTTGGAGCATCTTAGGAGATATAGGGGCCTCAGGCAATAGTTGCCCTAAGTGGTTCACATCAACATTATTGGCCCTAGACCTTGACAAATTCTAGAAAGTCCTCAAAGACAAGATCCCTCCTCCTTTCCCCCTACTGTGAAGGAAAAGCCTAAAAAAATTAACGAATTTTTCCAATGTCACACAGTAGGCTGTTTATAAGTCAGGACCTCAGCCTTACACACCTTCTGTTCAGTCCCACCACACATCCACATCTCTCATCCACCAAAGTTAGCTAAATCCAAGACCCCAAGACCCCAAGATCCCACACCTATGGCAGGAAAGCTTTGGCTCCATTGTAAATTCAGAGCACTCCAAATAATTCCAACTTAATTAACAATCTAACCAGGCAGTTGGGAACATTCTGAGGGATGACTGAGCAAAGAGCTTCCCCTTCGTCATTTCTACATATTTCACATAGTGACCCAAAGATGTCAGTTTGCAGCCATTTGTCACACTTGGGAGGTTTCTGTTGAAAACTTTAGACTGGCTTCCAGTCTCAGTATGAATCCCAACCTTCCCTTCATACAAGTTTGTTTTGTTTTGTTTTGTTTTTGTCTTTTTGAGATAGGGTCTCTTTGTAGCCCCAGCTGGCCTGGCACTTACTATGTAGTCCAGGCTTGCCTCAATCTCACAGAAATCCACCTGCCTCTGCCTCCCAAGTGCTAGGACTAAAGGCATGCACCACCACGCCTGGCTCCTACAAGCTTTATATACGGAAAGTTTATTTAGCTACTTCTAAATAAATGCCTGACCCAAAAGGGAACCCAAACAATAGTAATTTCAACATACACCTGAGCCAGCTGACAGTGCCTGCCCATCTGGTCTTGACAGGCTCCCTGGGGAACAACCTTCTCTCTGTACCACAGCCCCACCCACGTGTGCACTGAGTGCACGCTCAAAACTCAGAGAGATGTAATCTCTGTGCCTGCTCAGCAGTGGGCAAATATGTCCAAAGTCTAGACCACAAGCATGTAAAGTTCTCTGGGGCTACCAAGCATGCTGGGAGCTCTCAGCTCAAACCTCCAGGACACCGGATAAATAGAAGAGGGTCAAAGAGCCTGGGAGGCTGAAGCAAAGTGTTTAGAGAGGAGAGGCAGGGCAAAGGCAGGGCAAAGGCAGGGGCAGGCTCTCTGGAGGCAGGTGCTCCTCCATCCTGCCAGCATCCTCCAGCCATCTCCTCCCTACCCCACAAGCTTCTTCCTAGGACATCCCTCCCTGGAATCCCAGAGGAAGCCCCCTCCTCTCCAGTCACCATTAACTGCCTCTGCCCCCATCTCCTAGGTGATGCTTCTGGGAGACTCGGGCGTCGGCAAAACTTGTTTCCTGATCCAATTCAAAGATGGGGCCTTCCTATCCGGGACCTTCATAGCCACGGTCGGCATAGACTTCAGGGTGAGGTGGCTGCAGGCTCCTCCTCCAAGCAGTGAGCAGGGGCTACAGCTCAGGTTCAAGTATTCTACCCTCTTCTTGCCCAGTCTGACTCCTGAGGGTACCTGTGGCTCACTTCCTGGAAGGCCCCGATGTGCTCCCCCTAGGACCACAGAGGTGGCCAGGTTAAAAGAGTTTGGACAGGGTTAGCACCTTGCCCATCTACAGAACATGACAAACAAGACCTAGTCTCTCTTCTACTCCTGGGCAGTGCCCCCAAGCAGGGTATCTCTTGGTGTAAATCCCTTGTTCATGGCCCTCTGGGCTAGACAAGGCCTCCAAGGTCTTCTGCAATTGCCAGGAAATTGAGGATCTGGGTTCAGAGACAGCGGCTCGCAGGGCTGGTCCCCCTCCTTGAGGTCTGCTCCATCTTTACCAATCTGAAGCAAGGCCCCTGGGCACTGCACACCAGAAGGTCCTAGAGGGGAAAGACCCTGGCAGCTGTGCCTTACAGAGGCTCTGAGCCTCTCCCAGTGGATAAAGTAGTGAGGCTGCAGTCAGAGGCCCTATGGGTGGCTAGAGGGAAGATGGCCCTGCAGGTCTTGCCTCTGAGGGCCCCAGAATGCTGGTGGCACCTTATCTCTAAGACTGCTAATAAGACTGAATTCTGGGAGACAGAGACTGAAGTGAGGAAGGGAGCAGAGCCTCCCGCACCCTGCCCTGTGCTACCTGTTAAGTTCAGTAAAGAGCCGGGCAAGTTTCTCTTGCCTTGCTAGGTTATGAACAAAACAAGCAGAGGTGTCTGGAAACAGGGTTTCCACCGCTATAGGGTGATCTGACTGAAGATGCCTCAGGCTTGTCACACAGCCTGTAGGCCTGGAGAGAGACCAGGACAGGTTGTTGGCAGAATTCAGGTGCCAGCCTCCCCTCCCCACCCTCTGCCCTTTTCTCTTTCAGAACAAGGTGGTGACAGTAGATGGAGCCAGAGTGAAGCTTCAGGTGAGAGAGGAGGCTGGGGTGGGGGAAGGGATATAGGCGTTTGCACTTGCTTCTCAACCTGAACCACAGCCCTGCAGCCCTGCCCTCAGCCTGGGGTAACTTCCTGTGGGGCCCATGAGAGGAAACTGCTTTTCTTTGTTTGATATCTGCAGAAAAAGCAATTCCCAGGCATCCTTCTCTTGCACCAAAGGCAACTCAAAATGCCTTCAGTGAAGCTTAGCCTCCCTCACCCTCCACCTCTCTCTCCAGTTTCCTGAGTCTCTACTGCTCTGGGAAGTCACTCCTGGACTGGAGAAGTGGAAACAGCATTGGGTTTAAGAGCCCAAAAGCATTTTTAAAGATGTCATCAGATGCCCAGGAGCCCATGAGAACCCACAGAAGGAAACAGCCCCCCATGCAACACAACAGACAGCTCACAGCACAGCATAAGCCCGGTTCACAGCATGCCCTGCCTCCTTCCCACCTTTTTCTCTTTCCCTTTCCAGATCTGGGACACTGCAGGACAGGAGCGCTTCCGCAGTGTGACCCATGCTTACTATCGAGATGCCCAGGGTGAGTCCCTCTGTCTTCTGACCCTTCCCTACTCTGCAGTACCCAGGCTGATGCCCTAATCCCCTCTGTCATCTCTCTTGTCCCCCTCCAGCATTGCTCCTGTTGTATGACATCACCAACAAATCTTCCTTCGACAACATCAGGGTAGGTCCTTCCCTCTGGAGACCTTTCCTCTCTCTGGTCCTTCCTCCTGCATCCCTGCAACCCATGAGTAGCTAGGACAGGGCCTCTACAGGCAGGCCAGATTGCTTCAATTCTATGGGAGTGGGTGGACCATGGAAACTTTGGGAAACATCCAGCTGTGACTGGGCATTTGATGGCCATGTGGGCATGGAAAAAAAGCAGGCTGATGTGCCCCCATACTGCCTGCCTAGCCCTAACTGTGATTCATGAATGTGTTGCATATCAAAATATTCAGAACAGTCCAGGCTCCACCCTGGACAGTTATCCGTAGAGAGTCTGCCCAAGCAGAAAATTCCACATGGATCTAGGCCAAGTTGCAACTCAAGTAGACAGAGTGTCTGTGCCCTCACAACCAAACCATCAGAGAACAGAGGCAATAACCAATAAATACATGCAAAACTCTATGTACAACATTCTACAGGTTCTGTGTGCTTTCAGACCTTGAGGACAGGTTAATAGCAAGCAAACTAAGGATAAAACATACAGATAGAATAGGATGAAAACTCCATAGCATTTATACTGCCACCTCCAATCCCATACCCATGGCAGACATCACTCATCAATCACAATATTTTTTTGGTGGAGAAGACTATAGAAGAAATGGAACCCAGGGCCTTGTGCAAGTGAGGCAAACATTTTACCACTGTGTTACCTCCCCAACAAGCTCAGCCTCCCGCTTCCATCTCCACCTCCAGTTTCCCATTTGTTGTTTTGCTTTTGAGGTAGAGTCTAGATATGTAGCTTGGACTGGCCTCCAACTCTTTATCCTCCTGCTTCTGTGCCCAAGTGTTGGGGAATCACAAGTCTGGCTTATCACATTAGTTTTGTTCACTGAGCCCTTTTGTGGTCTTAGAATCCCCAACAGGGCATTCTAGAAAAAGAATGGCCTGGGCCTGGGCCTCAGCCTGATTCTGCTTCCTCTCTCCCACAGGCCTGGCTCACAGAGATTCATGAGTATGCCCAGAGGGATGTGGTGATCATGTTGCTAGGCAACAAGGTGAGTGGCTCCTGTGGCAGGGTCAGTCCTCTCCCATTGCCTGAGTACCTGCCCTACCTAGCCCCATAGCCACCTAGAAAGTTCTTCCAACAGAAGACTTTGCAGCCTCCAGTGAAGGAATCAGACATGCCTGGTGGCTACTACCTGTCCCATCTGCCACCTTAGAACTTCAGCAGTGGACCCAAGCTGCTGCCTGAGAGATGCAGGGTGACTCAGCTGCCTGCCGTGATGATTAGATCATCGTGGGCAGGATCAGGGGTCAGAGTCTGAGAGTACAAAGATTTTAACCCCATCTGCTGTCATCAGTTAAGGTTGGGTCACCACACTTTTTTCCAGAAAGAGTTACCCACCTCCCCCAGTGCCCAGGGTGGGGACCCGGCACACAGCCTGAGCCAGGCAGAAACCCTGGCCCCAGGCCAATCACACCTGCCTGCAGTCCCTCAGGCCACCAGCAGAGGGCAAGCAGTGTCTGCTCCTGGGGCAAAAGATGGGCCACCTGGGGTCTAGGCTTCCTTCCCCAGAGTGACTGACCCACATGGACTTGACAGGCGGATGTGAGCAGTGAAAGAGTGATTCGTTCTGAGGATGGAGAGACACTGGCCAGGGTAAGTGAGTGCCAGTGGGGTGGTGTGAAAAGGAGGCAGGGTAAACTGTCGGAGCAGCCAGAAGCTGGTCCTAAGGACACTCTTTCCCACGCAGGAGTACGGTGTTCCCTTCATGGAGACCAGTGCCAAGACTGGAATGAACGTGGAGTTGGCCTTTCTGGCCATTGCCAAGTGAGTGCTGCACAGGGAAGGGAAACTGGGCAGAGTGATGGTCTGGGAAGCCACAGAGGTGGGGGGAATATGCCCAGCCCCCAGCCCAGCCCATGCATGGCTCTTCCTCTTCTAGAGAGTTGAAATATCGTTCAGGAAGGCAGGCCAATGAGCCCAGCTTCCAGATCCGGGACTATGTGGAGTCCCAGAAGAAACGTCCCAGCTGCTGTTCCTTTGTGTGACTCCCAAGGGCCAAGAAGAAGCCTCAGAGGCCCTTGGGAATGCAGCTGTCTCCCCTGTACTGGCTCACTCTGAACTGCCAGGCCAACTTGGGAGAGAGCTGGGGACTCAGCACACAGCCTCTGTCTGGGAGGCAGCCATCCCCCTAGTTTCTATAGCTTCCTTACATCACAGGAAGGGTAAAATATGTATACTTTATCTTAGTGAATATATAACTTAATACCAAAAAAAAGGTACCAGTATGTCCAGAAAACCAAGATAGGTAGGGACCTGGTGACCCTTTTTCCTTCTGGGACTAGGACCTAAAAGGCTGGGGCCTCCTAGCAACAACAAGGGTAGTAACTACTCTATCCTGGCACCAGAGAACTCTGATGCACTTCTAGGATGTACCGGCTGACCCCATCACCACCCTCGCTTGGGGAGGCTGAGCAGACCCCAGCCTTTACTTTCTCCAGCTTCACAGGCACAGCCTTTTCTAATAAGATGGGCCCTGCTGCTGGGAGCTAGCCCTATGCCTCAGGGAAGATAAACAGGGAGATTGGGAGGGTGTAAGATGGCTAACAGTCACTAGGATGGATCTTGCTCAGCTACCTCTGGCCTCCTAACCCTCTTTTTGGAGGTGTGCCCCCCTTTTCTCCAGCATATAAGCACAGTGGAGCACCTGAAAACATTAGTTCCTAGCCCTTGAACTTCACACCCCAGGGGACCCCTGTCCCCTTCCCCTAGAAGCAAATCTCTGTCTCATCTGCTTTCTGCCTGAGTTCCTACTAGACACCTGAGGTCAGAGCCAGACCTGCCTCAATCCTGTGGCAGGTATGCAGCACCAGACACCACAGCTACTTCAGGGTTAAAAGTCAAATAAAGAGATCTCCAACCCCACCACCCAAGTCTATCCCCCTAAACCCAAGCTCTGTCTCCTCTCTGTCCTTTAACTTCATAGACAAAAACCAGGGCCAAAACTGCCTTATCTCCTCCCCTACTAAGTCAAGTGAAGGAATGGAAAGTCATCCATTTCTGGGTGAGCCAATATAATATGTACAAATCAGGTGGGTGCAGAGAGGGGCAGCAAGGGGTTCATATAGGCCCAAGGTCACGTGTCTCCAAAAGCTCTGACCTTACCCTTCTAAGGGGACAGGAGACATACAGGTCATGACCTACAGGCACCTTCCCTGCAGCCCTGCAGGCTGGGCAGAGAGAAAAGCTGAAAGAAAGTATGCATCGCACATTTCTGAAGTTACTGCTTTTGCTTTCAAGGTAAAAATCTTGCTCTCTGAACAGGGTCAGTGCTCTAACTTGGGTTGATGAGGAAGCGCTCCCTGACTTGCTAAACGGGAAGGAGCTTGGGCTTGCCCAGTTTCTTCTGAGACCCTGGGCAGGTGGTAGGAGGTCCAGTCACACAGATGGCTCTGAGCCTCCAGCATTTGTGTTTTTCGGCATTAAATTGCAGTATTTTGGAAAGTACACCCTGACCAATGTTTTTCTGTTCCCAGGGAGGAGGGATCATGTTAAAGGGTTTGTTATCGCAGGTTGTGGGGAACTGTCATTACCCAAATCATTTGATCCTCATCTGTCAATGTCCTCAAAGTTCACCTCACCCTTAACTGATTGCCCCAACCTCTGACCAACATCTCAGCTCACCGAAGGGAGCTGGAATGCTTATCTTACAGCCCTAGTGGTGTTTTTCTTTCTGTTGAAAAAAACCAGGGCTCCATTCCCTGTGGAGTGATTGACTACCTGACTGCTTCTCCTCCCCCATCTCCCTAGCCAAAGGCTGACTCCAAAGCACAAGCCATGTTCCCCCTTAGGCAGGCAGCCTGTCTTTCTAAGAGGGCTGCAAGGAGCCTCAGAGTCTCTGCCCAGCCTTACAAGTCCCTTCTCAGAGGATCGGAGCTTACACCGTTATATGCCAAGTCCTGGGGCAGCTCAAAGTGATTCCACAAGCAGAAACTTTGTTATTTAAAAACCCCTGTTCCAGAGTTACTCTATTACAGTTACTCCGTTACAGTGTTACTGTGTTACAAGAAGACTTCCGTCCAGTTCTTAAGCCCGCTGGCCCTGGGGAGGAGGAGGGACCAGTGCGGGGTGGTTACCCCAGCAACAGTTGCTCCCCCTAGAGCCAAGTTGTGCAATAGGCTTTGGCTGAAGGCGGTTAAAACCTGAGGGTCCTTTACCCGTGGACTGACCCTCTTCAGTGCCTCCCTCCATTCTGGGGAAACCAGAGAGCAGCCCGCAGAGCCTCTCCGCGCACTACCTGGAACTCATCCCGGCCCCGCCCCGCCGGCCCAACTCCGCACTTGGTAACAAACACTTCCACTTCCTGAGCCGTTTTTCTTGGCCCGCTGCGGGACACCGCGCCGAGCGCAGGCCACGCCCCCTCCCCATCTCATTGGCCAGTGTCGTTCACCCGGCCCAAGCGCCCTGACTCCTGGCTTCTGATTGGTCTACGCTGGTCCACACCCACGGCACGGCCCCGCCCCCGAACCTAGGGGCCGGGGCGGGTTCTGGAACGGTCAGACGCCGTGCGGGGCGGGGATTGGTTCTAGCTTCCGTCTGCTCCTCGGCGTTCGCGGCCGCAGTTCCTGGGACACCTGCTCGCTGCTCCTGGTACGGTGCTGAGCTCCGGCCTCGGGGTTCGCAGAGCTGGGCGCCCTTGTGCCTGGCCTCCAACCGGACCCCGCTGCGCGCCCCTGAGCGTTCGCTGGGCGAAATGAGCGCGGACGCGGCGGCCGGGGAGCCCCTGCCCCGCCTCTGCTGCCTGGAGAAGGGTCCGAACGGCTACGGTTTCCACCTGCATGGGGAGAAAGGCAAGGTGGGCCAGTTCATCCGGCTGGTGGAGCCCGGCTCACCCGCCGAGAAGGCGGGGCTGCTGGCCGGGGACCGGCTGGTAGAGGTGAACGGCGAGAACGTGGAGAAGGAGACCCACCAGCAGGTGGTGAGCCGCATCCGCGCCGCGCTCAACGCCGTGCGCCTGCTGGTAGTCGACCCAGAGGCGGACGAGCAATTCAAGAAGCTCGGAGTCCAGATCCGGGAGGAGCTGCTGCGCGCCCCAGAGAAGTCGGAGCAGGACGGGTCTCCGGCCACCGCCGACGCACAGGGTGCCGGCGACAAAAATGAGGCCGAAGAGAGCCACTCGGAGCGGGTAAGTGCGGGCTGGACTGGGTTTGTAGCTGGGGAGGGGATCTGGAAGACTCTCGGGCGTCCCCGGACGTCCAAGCATGTTCTGAAACTCGCGCTGCGAGGAGACTGCTTCCGCCCGCCGACCCCGGGCCCTCGCCACTCGGGAGTAGGCTCGGGGTTGCGACCGGCGACCTCATCCCCTTGTCCAGGCTGGCTGGGGAGCTGAGTGTCTTTGCTTCCTGAGTCCCTTGTCCTTTAAACTTTGGGAAGGCGGCGCAAAAGAGCTCAGTCCCTTTCTCCTCTGCCCCCCATTTCTTAGATCCAGCCCCCACTCCAAACTGGTCCTCCCCTGGTGCCTTTTTTTGGGCTATCCCCGCCTGCAGCTGAGCTAGGACGACCTCCGGTCCGGTCTACCCCCACACTCCACAATTATCTGCCCCTGTGGATAGGAACTAAGGTGCGGTGAAGGCTAACGCGTCCAGCCGTTTTAAAAAGCTAGAGGAATAACCAACGTCCCTTGGGAGGTCCTCCCAGCCCTACCCGCATCCCCTCTGTCCTCTAGTTTGTGCATCATTAACTTCTTTCCGACTGGACTTCATCCTCTCAACTCTAGAGTGACTTCTAAGAAAGTGAGGAAGTACCAGCCTCTCTGGATGAGGTGTGGGGGTGGGGTGCAGAGGCGTGGCGGGGGGGTTGGCTCTGCCACCCGGGAGGATTTACGGTTCTCAGGAATGTGAGGAGTAAGCGCTAGCCGGTATCTGGAGGAGCTGATGGGAGGACCTAGGAGAA